TCATTTATATGTTCTTATTTATGTTGATGACTTGATTATAGCAGGGAATGTGTAACACCGGACTCGAATTTAACCCGGATAATTATTTTTCATCAAGTACATGGTTAAAGAAGGTAAATCAAGACTAGAGTAGCCTTGATAAATGAGAAAGATAAAATTTTTGTCTTAAATTAATAAAGGATTATAAATCAAACGCGGGACCCACACCGAGAGCGGGGACCACCCATGGTATTGTAAGTGTTTAAGATATTAATGTTGACCTAGATGATTCTATTATGATAGTAGGAATGGGTCGTGGACCCCAGTGATATAAAGAATGACAACAGGATGGCCGAGTGGGCCGGGGCCACTATTCGATAATTGTGAGCCCTTAATTCTCGGACTGTTAATAATTTCGATGAATTGATGAAAGAATAAATATAAATATTTTAAGAACCCAAAATAATGGGATGATAAATATATAATTAATTTGGTACATGAAAGGAGGGTAGTTTTGGAGGACCCTGCCTTGAAGATATTTGTGTATGAGGACCTTCTGTTGCGAACAATCAACAAATACGTTTTAAGATTGTTTACCACAGTAACACAATCACCAAATACGTTCTAAGATTGTAGGGTGTGTTTCGGAAAATAAAGGAAATTAATTAAAATAAATTAATTAAATAAAATGACTAGAGAAAAACAAGAAAGGAGATGAAGCAGAATTAGTCAAAGCTCGTGCTACACACGATGTCCTTAAAACGTATTCATCGCCTCCCACGGTGCTAGGAGCGTTGCAACGACCATTTCCCAGGATACGGTGGCTAACGAACGATCGTTTGAGCACACAAACGAAAGTTCCGGTGAACTGGAACACAGTAAGAACACTTAGCAAAATTTGGGAGTAGCTGGAAGTGTTTTTCGCTCAAGAAAACGTGAGGAATGTATTGTGTGTTGTGTCTTGTTGCAAGCCACCTGCCAGCCTTTTACATGAGAATTTGTTGTGTGTTAAATGGGGTGTTAATGGACCTGAACGTTGGACATCAATGACCAGTCCGTTGGGCATTGAATCGTCCATAAACTGTCCATTTAACGCAGTATTAAAAGAGAAGAACGTTGGGCATTTATTACTGTAACGGACCAGAAGACCTTCTGTTGCGAACAGAAGGCCTCGAGCGTCTCTATTGCGAACAGAAGGCCTCGAGGGTCTCTGTTGCGAACAGAAGACCTCGGGCGTCTCTGTTGCGAACAGAAGGCCTCGAGGGTCTCTGTTGCGAACAGAAGGCCTCGAGGGTCTCTGTTGCGAACAGAAGACCTCGAGGGTCTCTGTTGCGAACAGAAGACCTCGAGGGTTTCTGTTGCTTACAGAACTCGAGCATTTTTTTTCCAGACAGAACTCGACCCCTTCTGTCACTGGGGAAAATAAAACGTTACGGGAAGAAACAAAAATTAGACTGTATCTTTGAATGATAGGTTTTCGGACGACATTCGTGTCCGCAAGTCGCCCGCGCACACGAGTCGCGGTTATTCTTCTCCGTTTCGGGATTTGATCGGCACCCCCCGTGCGCGTAAAAGAGAGCCTTTAGCCTTAGGAATCTTAACTCCTTAAAAGAGGTTTCCCTTTATAAGGGGGTGAAAATCCCTTGAGTTTTTCGGTGTGGGATAAAACACACTAGAAACCCATCATTTTCCGAGTTTTTCCATTTCAACGAGTGAACTTCGAGAATCAATTTCTCATTCACCCGTTATCCGTTTTGAGTGTGCCATATATCGAATTGTAGCCCTTAACAAGGACAATCCGAAACCACTTTGACCTGACCCAAATCGGAAGTGAACTCCACTCAAATAATTGCCCCAAAATGACCATTTAATGCAATTTTTAACACATTTTTCCAACATTATATTCATCTTGGTCTAGATGATATTTATATGATGGTGTAAATTACATTTGAACCATAATGTTGGCCTTTCAATCAAACGAGGTCCCATTACTGGTATAGGTAATTTAACAAATAAAAGCCCGAAATAACTTCCGAGGACCACTATATTAAAGTTGGGTAATATATATTCATTCAAGAGGCCAATATTAATTGGAAGAATGATATATATTTTATTTGGCCCGATAAAATGAAATTTAATTAAAATAGTCCGGAAAATACAACTTTCGGAACCGATTGTACACTTTGAGACATAAAGGGTCAAAGGGATGAACTCCCCACATGCATGGGGGCCACCCCACGATTGATGGTCTCAACTCTCAAATAAGTGTGGAGAGCCATATTGAAAGGCTAGAAATAAGTTGAGATGATAGGGGGACAAATTAAATCATCCAAGGGACCCTTTTCCCCATCTCATTCATACCTTTGAGACAAAACAATCCCCTCAACTCCTCTATCCCTAATATCTCGACCCAAAGCATCCAAGAAAGAGAGAGGAGGTCTGCAACTTCCCATTTCCATAGCCATAACCCAGATCAAGCAAGAGGAAGGCTCAAGGAAGAAGAAAGAGTGGAGAAAGTGAAGAAAACTTAGAAAAAATAAGGTAATGGTCTCACTAATATTTTTTCAACTTTCATTTAATCTCATATGATTTTATAAACCATATGATAGAACCCTAAGCTTGTTCTATACTCCTAGATGTGTAGAATGAGGGGTTGGAAGGATAGTTTTAACCACGATCGGAGTTATGACCGGAGTAAGACCGGTTCGCCGGAAAACACCTTCCCGGGAGGTTTTGATGTTTATACCACTTTTGGTTGTGAAACCTTGTTAGAAATTTTACCAAGGTATTATAGAATTCTCGAGAAATCTAGGAGTGGCCGGAAAAGTCGCTGGAGCCGCCGGAGTTCAAATGAGGAGGATAAAAGCTCGCTAACGTCATTTCGAGGTGAGTGGACGACTACGTGTCTTGTAACTCTTGGGTCAAACGTGGGATTAACTAAATAAAATCATAATCATGATTTGAGAAATGATTAAATGGATTAAAATGCATGATTAGTCATGTTGAATATGATTTATGGAAATATTACATGATTAATGAATAAGAGATTTATTTGTGGATTAATCATGAATATATTATTGTCAAATGTATAAAAATGCATACATGGACTATGTATGAGATAACTAGAGTAATTGAGTATGTGAATATGTATAGAAATGTTTAAAAGTGTTTAAACATGTGATTAGCTATAATGATTATAAGTTATGTGAAAATGGCATGATTCATGAGTAAAAGAATTATTAATATTTTTGATGAAGGATAATCATGAATGATTTAGTTGGACATTAACTAAAGTAATTCAAGATGGTATTCTTGAAGGGTTCAAGTACTTAATTATACATGTCATTAAATCAAATCTAGTTATGAAGAATAAACTAGAACAAAATATATAAACGATTAATAAGTATGAAGTACTTATTAATCGTTGTGAGAAGATGGCTTTATGGTTTATAACATTTGCGTGAGGCATGAGATTGCCTAAAGTAATCAAAGATATGTTTTATGGAATGATTAAAGATAATCAAGTGTTTGCTTATGTCATGATTATACATAAAACATAGTTCAAAAGCATGTTATGTATGTTTGATGATTAAAAATGTGATAACTTATTATATATGATGATCCAGGGATCCAAAATGGTATTTTTGGATCAAGGACGTCAAGAAGTACATCTGTATAAAATTTCACGTTAATCGGACTTCGGTTGGGCGGTCAAACGGGCATTGACCGCCAAGACAAAGGTGATACCCGACCGGGTATGGGCAAATACCCAACTGGGTATTGATTAAAAATGACTCCAGAAGCCACTGTCACACTAGACCCCACCGGGTATGGGTATAGACCCGACCGGGTCTCAAGTAAAATTGGTTCCAAAGGCTACTGCCTCACCATACCCGACCGGGTATGGGTATATACCCGACCGGGTATTGGGTTATACACTCAATATGCAGTTTTTGAGTAAGTTTACATGGGCCGTTCAGGTGGGACCCGTCCACCACTAGTTGAAAAGTGGCTTACAGTGACACTTTGTTAGTGACATTTTCTGAAATAATGCTAATGATGACATAAAAGTGTCACTATTTTCTGACACATATATATATATCAACATCACTTAGTGACACTCAAATAATTTTGAGTACTCCCTCCGTTCCCAAAAATACTTCTCACTTTCCTTTTTGGGCTGTTCCCAAAAATACTTCCCACTTTCCTATTTTGGACAATTTGTGTGGCTCACCTTCATTTTACCTTTTTCTGACACAATCACAACCATACATTTCCACTTTATTCCACTTTCTTAATAAGCGTGCCAAGTCAAACCGGGAAGAATTTTTAGGAACGGAGGGAGTATATTTTAACGCGTGCATTGCTATTTGAGCCAGGCTGCATAGCTTATACTACGTATTTAATAGGGTGTTTGACGGATAAGTGTAGGATTGTAACATTTTATTCCAAATAACGCAACTTTTTTCTGGTTTTCTCTAATAGCGTAAAACGGAGTTGACAGGTCCGAAAACAGAGAGCCTTGACGATGTCAGACCAACTCCTCCGAATTCGGAGTTGGCAGGTCCGAAAACGAATTCCAAGAAAATGAATTCCAAGATGACCCATTCGGAGATGACCAACTTTAATGAGTAAAAATTTAATTTGTTTGGCCTCAATTTTGTTGCTGAATGTTTCACTTCAGTAAAAATTTTTGTTAAATTTTTTTTTAAAAGATTTATTTGTATTTGTTATAAATCATAAGTAAAAATTGTACAATATTATTCATGAATACGCGTTTTACAAAAAATTGACCCATTCAATTAAATAAGCACACGTTTTACAAAATTGACCCAATAAATATTTTGAACACAAATACTGAACCCGAATAATAAAAACAGTTGACCCATTCAGCATTATTAAAAGTATCAATATACTTAATCAATGTGACGAGTTTTAAAAACAGTTGACCCATTCAGCATTATTAACTTGAAAGTAATTACAAATACAGTTTACAGTATCACGTGTTTAATAATAAGTGACCCATTAAGTCATATGAAACTCAAAATTTAACAAAGTTCATAACATATTAAAAGTACATTTGAAACATATGGCTAATAAAAGTGTTACAACATTAAAACAAACTACAAAGAAAAGAAATAATACACCATAAGAGAGTACAAATGTGAATCAATCATGTTGTGCTCTGCGTCTTGGACGCATATCCATCTCATTTGGAAATCTTGTTTCTTGACGGCGTCCTACTCGAGAAGTTCTGGAAGAGTATTTAGGCGGCAGAAGAATGAACTCATTTTGTGGCCACTCATTCAGATTCGGCAATGGCATGATATCACTGGAATGTGCATTTATGTAAGAACTTAGTTTGTATACCTCTGGAATAAGATGATCAACAGGGCACTTAAGAAAATGGCAGACAGCATGCGCATGGACGCATGGCATGCCGTTCATCCTCCAACAACCGCACTCACAGACAAGTCTCGATAGATTCACCGTAACAGGTGTTGCATTATCCACGGCGACTGAGTAAATTCCTGTGTAGTGGTTGTGTGGAAGAACCATAGTGTGAGGTCTTTGGTGCCAACGCTCCATAATCTCTTTCCGAATGTTGTCCGGAAAATGATATCCAGCTTGCTGCCACATCATACCAGCACTACGACGTTGGGCGAAGAGTTGGACTAGTTTGTCAAAAGTTGCTCGTACAAGGGCAGTGATTGGCAATGTCCTACATCCTTTGAGAGCATTGTTGAAACTTTCCGAAAGATTTGTTGTCAAAATACCATAACGACAACCACCATCAAAACAAAGTGCCCACTTTTCTTGGGGAATGTCATTTAAATACTTGAATGCTCTCTCGTTAATACCCCTAATTTGTTGCATGAAATGGTTAAACTCACTTACAATCGGGGTACTTCCCGCTTGCCAACACAACTTCATTAGTTGTTTACTTCTAAATTGGGACATGAAGTTGCTTCTAATGTGGCGAAGACAGTAACGTCTCTGAAATCGAGGTGTTCCCAATTCTTCCACATTCCGAAATGCATAATCTATAGCCGCATGCCTATCCGAGATGATGCAAACATTCCGATGCGGCCGTATGATGTGTGTCACAAGCAACTGTAAGAACCACGTCCAACTAGCACCATTCTCACTATCTACCACTCCAAATGCTAGAGGGTAGATTTCACGGTTCGCATTCATTGCCACCGCGACTAGGAGATGCCCCTTGTACTTTCCGTACAAGTGAGTTCCATCAATTGACACAACCGGAAGGCAGTGATTGAACCCATCAATGGCGGCTTTTATTGACCAAAAAGCAAATTTAAATTCATATGTACCTTGGGTCTGGGTGTTATCACTTTGAATATCAATTATGCTCCCTGGGTTAGTATACGCCATTGCTTGTAACACTTTTGGTAGATCGTTGTACGATGTCTCCCAATTGCCAAACCGTTTCTCGAGTGCTAATATACGAGCATACCACGCTTTCTTATATCCAACATGAATGTTATACTTTTGGTGTATGTCATTCATTATCAACTTAATACTATACTCTGGTTTTATGCGAATCGTGGAACTAATTTCAGAAGCGATGAGCTTACTTGTAAGGAGTTTGTCGATTCTGCCTCTTGTATAATTCGGAAGGCAGTTATGGCGGGGTTGATACTTCTTTACTTTCCAGAGGTTTGTGCTCTTCACTTGTGATGCTTGAATGTGCCACGAGAGGATGGTATGAACTGGCACGAGAGGATTGAGAATGCAGATGTGCATCATCATGGGTGCCAGCATCCCCCATCCGAACGTTACCCCGGCCAATTCGCCTTCCGCGTGTGGGACCGCCCCTCCCACGATGAGGGCGTGGGGGACGATGAGCAGTGAGAGGATCAACATCTGCAGCTTCATATGTGATGATGTCATGATCAATCGCTTCTTCTGCACCAAGTCGTGTAAGACACTCTACACCGTGTGCAATGATGTCATCCGGATCATCTCTGACTCGTAATCGGCGAATTATCTCACCCAAACATTGAATCTAAAATATGCATCAGTTTTTATAATTTGTTTCAAATTATTTATTAATAGAATTACGAATTAAAACGAATAGTTACCGCAATAGCCGCTTGTGGGTGAGCAGGAACGAATCCCTGAGTGGGACGATCAACACACGGGTTTGTGAGCCATCGTTTTCCTACATTACGGTACCACTCGCGGTACTCATCACTAATGAAAGGACCTTCGTCAACCCACTGAAGTGGGAATATTTTGTTCCACCGTAATGCCCATTCTTCAACAAGCTCGACCATGAAACGTGATCCACTATTGTGGTGACGATGCCCTGCAACAACCAGAGCGGGTCGATCCTGATATGCGTTGAATTGACGACAAAACCTTCTAGGATAGTGTGCCTCAGAAAAACGTGTATAAATCAATGGAACCTCCGCAGCCTACAAATCGTTCGCATCATGACAATATGCTGGAAGGTTCATCAACGGATAGGGGGTCCATTCGAACTGAAAAATATCTCCCAATTAGTAAGCACACATAGTTATTTATATCATTTAATTTATTGAATTTGAATGTAACAAATTAAAAATCATGTAAAATTGAATTGTACAAGTAACAAATTATACCTCATCTTCCGTCATCCGATCTAGTTGGTCCCTATATACCCGTAACGAAAATCTGTTTGTTTGCTGCCAATCATGTTGACACGCCCACCTAGATTTAGTTTCCATGAACAATAATATAATAAATAAATAAATAAATAAATAAATAGCGTAGATTAAAAGCATAAATAGCATCTTGTAATACAATAATCAAAGTAACATAGATAATGTATTATTTATTTAAACAATACCTAACAGCATACGGAAAATCCAATATATGGTCAAGTGGGAGATGACCTTGGGGCCGAACCATCGGCAATCTCTCCCATGCCCAGATTTGTAGAAGGATTAAACATCCTCCAATCTGTTTAGCCTGGGCCTTGGCCGCCTTACACATGGTGTGATACAGATAGGCCAAGACCGCTGAGCCCCAGCTCCATCGGCGCACATCTACTAAGTTCCCCTGCAACAACTCCAAGAAATACCAACTAGCCATGTTTCCACTAGTGGTAGGGAATAATGAACCACCTAACAACTGCCAAATGAGGGCCCTAGTGTGTTGAGTCACCTCGTATTCAGTGCTCCAATCGGTTAATGGAATGGGGTGAATATTTGTTACTTTTATGGTAGCTGAATTTAAATCATCATCTTCTGGTATAAAACCAGCAGACTGTGCACACATCTGCAACAACGCTGCCTTATCAGTAATCGTGGGACCAGTGAGTGGTATGCCGTCAATGGGCAACCCCAACAACACTTGCACATCCTGTAAAGTCAATCCTACCTCACCAAAGGGCAAATGAAATGCGTGTACCTCGGGTCTCCACCTCTCCACTAACGCAGTCAGAAGTGACCAATCTAACTGTATTTGTCCTATTCTCTCGACACCGTGAAACCCAGATGCTCTCAACAACCGTACCACCCCAGGATGACGCGGACCATCATCAACATAGGCACATGACGAATAGTGATGGCACCTCAGTTTGTCATCTCGAAATGCTGATTCGTGCCACACACGATCGGCACGATGCTCACCGGGTATCATAACTAAAACAGAACGATCCCGAGGGCCAGGGTGTGCAACTCGTTCAGCCATTACAACCTACAATTAATACGTAAACAAATACTAAATTTTTTATCATGTTTTTAATTTAGTGTTAATAAATGTGTTCAATAATATTATGTAGTTTAAAAGTTCTACAATTATTACTACTAATGGATATGAAGTAAGTAAATATGAAAAAGTTCTACAATTATTACTACTAATGGAATAATAAGAACAGATAATATTAAACTTCTTTTTGTAATAATAATAATAATATAATAATATAATAATAATAATAATATAATAATAATAATAATAATAATAATAATAATAATAAACTCTAACCTTTGAAGGAAGCCTTGTTTGTTTTGTTGGTATGAAAGTGTGGGAGGAGGAGGAGATGTTGGTGGTGTGAAAGTGTGGAGGAGGAGGAGTATTTATGCTGAAAATATTATCAATCTAGAATCCGACGGACCAATGAAATTGTTGGGAAATCGCGGAAATCTATCTTCTGAATTCGGAGTTGTCAGCTCCGAAAATGGCTGACATTTTCTGACAGAACTCTTTCGGAGTTGTCAGATCCGAAAAGCTTTAAAGTTTTCGTCAGGTGCTCGCAGGCACTTCAAATTCGGAGTTCAGTACTCCGTTTTACTCTTTTTCGTCAAAAAAATTACATCAACGCGATTCGGAAACACCCGACCAAAATCTACTCTGTTCCGTCATTTACTCTATTTAATATACAGAGTAGTAGTATTTCAAGGCTTAGGCTTCTCCCTTCTAGACTTTTCTAGACTTACATCTGCTAGCCTCTTTCCCTTTCTAGTAACCCTAGCTAACTCATCTATCAATGAAGATGACTTCGACGAGCTGCACGAGCCCTCCATTGATGAACTGTGATTAAGGAGGCGGTCGAGAAGCGAGGTGCACGGCAAGCCAGGCGGAAGGTGATTGGGGAAGACAGAGAGCGAGGCGAACTGAGAGCGAACTGATACCGCTCGTGTATCTGGCTGCATCTGTCGCCGCCTGTCTACCACGTCTCTGGCTGCACCCTTCGCCGCCTACTTACCAAGTCGCTGGCTGCATCTGTCGCTCCAGTCGCTAGGAAGTGTGACACCCGGAACGACGCGGCAGCGAGAATAACTCCAGAGGTAGTATTAGCGGGCGGCTGCCTTCTTCTTCTTCAATTGTATGTCCTCAATTTCAAGAGTGGCAACACTATTGACATCCTTCAATTCATACATAAAGACAAAATCCTCCTTCAATTTAGTTCATACTCTAGCTTATTCCTCGCAACTTGGCCTTATCCACGCCAAATCGTAGCTCTATATGGGGTCTTCAAGAAATCCGTAGCGCTAGGGTTATCGCACATTGTCTAGCTCGCACGATAAGAGAAAAGCGCTAGGGTTACGACACATTTGCTATATAGCCCGGCAAGAGAACGTATTTGCTCTTCTTCCCAAATCTAGAATACATGGTACAATATATATACATACATACATATATATATACATACATATATATATACATACATATATATATATATATATATATATATATATATATATATATATATATATATATATATATATATATATATACCATGAAGTCAGTTCATAGTTTAGCTTTCATGTTTGTTAATCTCCACAAATTGTTCTAGGATAATGACTTTCTAACTAAACACATGTTTTTTGACTTTCAAAGGCTTCACCAATTGCACTTTCTGTTGTGGCAGAGATAATAGAGTCATCCTTTATACCACAAGTGATGGTTGGCTCCATTGTGCGGTGATTCAACTCCTCTCTAAGGTTCAATTCAGTTTTCCAAGTGCTCTGAGAAATATTGGAGTAGGATTGGGGCATTCCCTTCTTGCTTATAGAAATGATTTACAGGGAATTTCAAAGCTTCAGATCAATGAAGCTGCCTTGAGAGAAGACTTGAACCAACCCTGGGAGGTTCTTGCTGAGCCGATACGTAACACCGTCTCCAATTATATTTACTTTTAAGTAAATAATTTTATGAACCTTGTTAAATGGTTAATGAATTTACGAAATTGTAAATTTTCATTATTTCTTTCGTGTGAATAGTAAATTGCCTGTGAGACCCACACCGGGAGCGGGGGCCGCCCGACGTTCCCGAAACCATACATGTTATTCATCTTGGTCTAGATGATAAATACATAGTGGTGGATATTTCATTTGGGCCATGGGAAGGCCCAGAGTTGACCGATTGGTCACAAGAGGCCCAAATTACCGGTACAAGTAATTTAACAATAACAGCCCGAAACGGATTTCGGAGACTCCTAAATTACACATGAGGAATGTATATTCATTCTAAGAATCCATAATGATGGGAAACACATAATATATTTTATTTGACCCGATAAAATAAAATATAATTAAAACAGTCCGAAAAATACAACTTTTGGAGCCGAGTGTACACTTCAGAGCATTAAGAGATGACCTCCCACATGAGTGGGGGCCAACTCACGTAAATATCCCACCTAATGGAGCAACGAGGCGTAAATATCCCACCTAAAGGAGGTTGATATGAGAAGATTGGCATCAAACTAAGCATGGGGGGCCTTTTCCTTCACTCATTGCCCAAATGAGCCAAAAAGGACCATCCCTACCCATCCCCTCCTCACTAGCTCGACCAAGGCCAAGGGAAAGAAGAGAGAAGCTCTGCAAACACCATACTCCATAGCTAAATTCGGACTCAAGCTCAAGGGAGACAAAGAAGGAGTTTTAAAGAGGAAAAAGGGAGGAATAAGTGTGGTGATTAAGGTAATGACCTTATATTAATTTTTCCTCTACTCTTTAATTACCACATGGCTTGTATAGCATACGAGGAATCCCTAGGATTTTTCTACATGTTGAGAAGTGTAGAATGAGGGGTTGGAAGTTGGTTCTAAGACTAAGAACGGACTTAGAAGCCAAAACGACCGGTTCGCCGGAAAATAACCCTTTAAAGGTTATTTGTATTGATATGAGTTTTGTGATGATAAAACCATGTTAGGAACATAAATAAAGTGTTTTTAGAGTTCTTCGGAGTTTCACCGGAGTTTCACCGGAGTTTCGCCGGAGTTTCATCGGAGTTCAACCGTGGAGCGTAGAACACACTAAAAGCTCATTTAAGGTGAGTGGACGGCTTAATATCTTATAACTTTTGGGTTAATTATGATATTACCTAAATAAATGTTATATGTGTTCATAATTATGTTTAAAAGGTATTTAAACATGTGATTAACCAACATGGTTAAGTTTGTATGAAAGGAATTAATTGTTATGCATGAAATATGATATGAGGAATTATATAGAATGCATATTTGCTTGAAGTGTAAGAGAAGAAAAAATGAATATCATTAACTTAATTATATGATGATTAAGTTGATACGTACAAGGCTTGAAATGGCGGTCAACGAAAACGTTGACCGATGGATAATGGATTAATTAATACCGGTCGGTATTAGTTAATTATAAATTTATATAAATGCATGGTTTTGCATGGATTGTGATCCATAAGCTTTATATATTGATTTGGTTATGAATGAATAGATATGATATAGACCCTATCTAGGTTGATAGGAGGTTGATCATAGGATTATAAATTGGTGGAGGATCCTAGGACTTAAAGTCCTTAACACTCATATTTTGGTGGAGGACCCTAGGACTTAAAAGTCCTTAACACTCATATTATAGTTTGGTGGAGGACCCTAGGACTTAAAAGTCCTTAACACTCATATTATATTTTGGTGGAGGACTCTAGGACTTAAAGTCCTTAACACTCGGATTATAAATTGGTGGAGGACCCGAGGACTTAATGTCCTTAACACTCGGATAATAAATTGGTGGATGACCCTAGGACTAAAAGTCCTCAACACTCAAATATAAACTGGTGGAGTACCCAAGGATTTTGATCCTCAAAACTCATAGGTTATGGTATATGAATACGGACAAGGAGGAGTCCTATACACTCATAGACATATGGGTGGGACGGGGTTTTTAGTCAAGGATATTGACTATTAATATTTTCCCAAATAAAACGTTGATCTACGGATCGGGTATTTTCCAAGTGATTATGTACTACTAACTATTTCTTAACTTGGGGGAAAAGACTATTTATATAAGTATCACCCTATGTTTGGGTCTTATACTTGAAACGCTAGTTATTCTATATTTAGCCTGCTACTCGCTCGGTACTTGTACTGACCAATTCGGGGGGCCCCACCATTTCAGGTTGATGTTCAGGCTTGTCATCTACACCTTTGCACGGGTGAAGAGAATCCAGAGGAAGACGTGGTTCGTGCTCCCTCTACTATTTCAAAAGATAAACTATCATGGATACTTTTGTATTAATACATTGTTTTGGCCTGCGAGCCTACGTTTTGGCCATGTGTGGCCCACAATTGATTATTGAATATTTCCGCTATTCAACTAATCTAAACTGTGATGTTGTTGTGTATGTTTACTACTGAGTATGGATATATATTATGTGCATGGACGTCTTGTATGATTAAGACACGTTGACTTGCGAGTGGCGTTGCTTGATCATACGGCGGTTGTACACACGCCTAGATGCGGTCTGGGGCGTGACAATTAAGTGGTATCAGACCCATCTCAGTTCTAAACTATGTAATCAACCTCTCACAAGAGATTTTGCAAAAAGGGAATTTGTACCGGAAACTATTAGCATTGTATTTTGACGTTCATAGAACTATTGTTACCTAGGTTGCAAGGTCTCTAATTGTTAAGATGGTACCCTTAACAATTGGTATGCCGGTGACTTGGGTCAATACGTGTCTATAACGTTCTTCCGTCAATTGACATTGATAGGAGTCTAACGACTCGTTCAAATCTCATTTCAGAAATGGAGGGTAGGCGAATGGCAACGAGGAACAATCCGAGGGGGCAGACACCGGTGACATCCATGAGGGGTAGCCGGGCTGCATCTCGGGGGAGAAGAGGAGGCCGAGTAGGCCGTGGGGGGCACCGGGCCCAAACGGTGAGCGATGGCCACGTAAGCTTGGTGTATGAAACTAACACTGAGGACTATGACTCAACTTTTGTGCCCGGCACGGAGCATGAGGAGACCCCGTATGACGGGGGTGACTTCCACACTGAGGAGGAAGACAATGATGAGAGTGATGCCCGATTCGCTTAAGTGGGCGAATTGCTTGAGTGGTATCAAAAGGAGAAACTAAGGAGAGACCTTAGACGCCAAGCAAGGCACGGCTCTCGTGGTAGTTTGGGTCAAGGAAGCCGAGGAGCTTCATGGGCCACTCCAGCGGCGTCACAAGGTGGGCGTGAAGGAGGGTTTTGTGTGAGAATCTCCAAGTACCTCAAGGAGGCTAGGGCCTTGGGGTGTAAATCCTTCGACGACACCGGTGACATTACCGTTGCCGTCGATTGGATCAAGAAAGTGAAGGATGCATCAAGGGATATGCAGGTCACACCCGACGTGAAGTTGACTGTTGCTTCACGTTCGCTTGAAGGAATCGCTTCTACATGGTGGGAGAGTGTAGAAGGAAAGTACCGGGGGGCCATCACATGGGCGAACTTCGAGCAGGAGTTCTACGCCCAATACTACTCCGACTACGAGGTTAATGTCAAGCGTAGAGAGTACACCAACCTTAAACAAAAGGAGGGTGGTTCTGTCAAGCAATTGGAGCAAGATTTTAGAACCTTGGCTAGGTTCTTGCCGGAATACGCGGTGGATGAGGACCGCATGTCGGAACGCTTTTGGGACGCCTTACTCCTGGACATCCGTGACCGAGCTACATACTCTCGTCATATGACGTTTAGCGAGGTGGTGGAACAGGGCCTACTTGGGGAGGCTCAGTGGAATGAGAGGAAAGAAAGAGACGCTGAAGAGGCGAAAAAGAGAAAGTGGCATAGTTCGGGGCTGCCCGAGCAATCACGAAAGAATAACAACTGTGTAGGTAGTGGTTCGTTCATGATGCTGGCACCACCGGCAAAGAAGAACAGGTATGCTCGGTGGCACTTATCCTCCTCTCAAAATACGGGACCTCCTAGGTGTGCCAACTGTTCGAAGAATCACTTCGGGAAGTGCAACGCACCCCCGAGGTGTTATCAGTGCGGGAACACATGCCACATGAAGGCTAATTGCCCACAATTGGGGAATGTACATCGTTTCTAAAGGCCCATAATTATTAGGAACACGTAATATATTTTATCCGGCCCGATAAAATAAAATATGACCAAAATAGTCCGAAAAATACAACTTTCGGGGCCGATTATGCACATCGGGACATAAGGGGATGACCTCCCACATGAGTGGGGGCCACCCCACGATTTTATGTATCACAAATGACCAAGAAGCATGCTGGAACGTGCAGAGTAGGTGAGGAGTCTCATTTGAGACAAAAACCCATCCCTACACCCTTTCTACTCAATCAATTGTGTTGATTGAGAGGAGCCTATCTCCCTCCTCACTTGCAACCATCCGGCCAACTCAAAGGAAAAGAGAAGATCCAGCAACTCCTCATCATGTTCAAGCTTGGAGGAAGTAAGGGGCAAGCAAACTCCAGTAGAAAACTAGCTAGGAAGAAGGTAAGAACTCAACTATCTTCTTGTAACTAGTTTTATGGTGCGTGATTTTTAAGTAATCATATGGTGGATTAAACATGATGTTCTACACGTTTAAAAGTGTAGAATATTGATATAAAGTGGTGATATTTAACTTAGAAGAGTTGGTGAATCGATAGGAGTCGAAATCACAGGAAACCGCCACTTTAAAGGAGCTGCTCGTTTCTGCAGAACACGAAAGCCGCCCGGCTTTCGTGAAAGCCGCCCGGCTTTCGTGAAAGCCGCCCGGCTTTTGCCCAGCAGCTCAGTTTTACATCTTCAATCGGCCTAGAACGGGGATTGATCGAGGGGCTTAGCGAAGGCAACTATTTCAGCACTTCATAAGGTGAGGAGGGCTGACTATATTGCTTATAATTAGTGAGTTAATTTCATAAGAATGCCTAAAGTAATTAGATGGGATTTTCATGGATTATTAATGATTAATAATGCCTAAATGAAAATAATATGAATATGAGTAAGTGAAGCATGATATACAAATTTAGAATAATTGTGTATGATTATGTGAAATGAATGGAACGACATGTTAATGGAATTACTATGATGACATTGTGATAAAATATACTTTACTTCATGTATGAAATTCATGAATGGATTAAAGTGATATTTTTGATATTGAGATCAAACTATACTTGGGTTGAGAAATCAATGGAAATGAAATGCAAATCGGGAAATAGGAACTTGGCATGTTCTAAGATTATCCAATTAGTATCAAAATACTAGTCGGGGAATTAATATAAATAAATGATAAAACAAATCCTAAGAGGTAGGATTGTGAATAGATATGCCTTAAGTAGTCTCAAGAGATACTTAAGGATGAATGGTATGAACACCGAGGTGTGATAGGGGTAGGCCTAAAGGCCACCTCCAGGAATTGATTCTAGGCATAGGACTTGCTTGAGAATTTGATTATGAAAATAATTAGAATTGGACTCTAGGATGACATGGAGATGTAGTTGGGCCGAGCCCATGCCATGTAATATGATTAGCATGGAAACGTAGTTGGGCCGAGCCCTTGCCATGTATGTGTGACCTCCGTGGAAACGTAGTTGGGCCGAGCCCTTGCCAAGAAGTTATGGTTGGTATGGAAACGTAGTTGGGCCGAGCCCTTGCCATACAAATTTTGATACGATATATTGAGCTAGAGGATTGTATAGAGATGTAGTTGGGCCGAGCCCATGCTATACAATTGGGGCTCGATGGGACCCCACGGGGTTATCGTGACTCGCGGTCACGGGGGAATGGAAAATATGAATTCTAAATGAGTATGGGCCTACGGGCCGACTACTTGACTTTATGTAAAGTAAGTACAGTTAAAAGAAATAGGGGTAACCGAGGGTTATGGCCTATAATATAATAGTACCCTAAGTTGAGGGTCTTGGAAATTAAAACGTTGATTATACTTAGTATAGTTGTTATTGTACTTGTCAAATATTTTCAAGTACTGACCTCCCCTTCACGGGGGAGGCCACCTCACAGTTTCAGGTAGAACTTGAAGGTCGCTGCCATTGCCCGTTGCTTCGGGAGGAATCAAGGGAAGAAGACGTGGTTCGTGCTTCTCCCGTTCTGTTTTAAAAACAAGTACATTGATGCTCATGGATAATATTTTCTGAATAATTACTTTGGGGGCTTGCATGCCTAGTTATGCCAAGTGTGGCTTGAACAATTGTATTAATGCTTCCGCTGTTTTAAATGCATGTTTTACATTATGTTTGTTTATGGATGTACTATGTGTGAATGATATTCATGACGCCTTGTATAGTATGGATGAGTTGGACTGCGGTTGACTATCCGTACTGTACGGCGGGTTGTTGACGTGTCCGGCTAGGTCCGGGGCGTGACATCGTGCCTCCGCCGTGCCTCCACAGTGCCTGGGTGGCAGTAGCCACCCGGAAGTATTTTAAGCCACGCACGCCGTGCGTGCCTCCTAGGCACGCCGTGCGTGGCACCCAGACTGCCCAACGTCAATAGTTTCGCACTGAATTGCAACGTTAAGACCTCTCCTTGATCCCAAACATGTGTATGAACATAACAAACTTCGATAGATGTATAATTATGGTAGGGGAGACATCTTACATGGCTTATAAATGTAGGAGCACTAAAGATCAATGGTAGAAACGCAAGAATTCTCATCAATACCGGGGCACAACGCTCATTTGTGAGCGAAGCGTTTGCTGAAGGTCTTGACGTGCCATTGATGCCGATGACTCAAACCTTGTTAGTCTCCACACCATTAGGAGATGATGCGTAAAGGGACCACTATTATCAATCGTATGAGCTAGAAGTGACATATCAACCCTTGACTTGTGATTTCGTACCTCTAAGTATGTTGGAGTTTGATGCGATCCTAGGGATGGATTGGCTCGAAAGGCATCATGCTAGGGTTGATTGATACACCAAGGTCGTAGAGCTTGAGGATGATGAGGGAAACATCATACGTTTCAAGGGAGATCGAGGGAGATCTCAAAATTGTATCATATCCGTGATGAGAGCACGGAAGATGATGAAGAAAGGTTGCCACGCGTACCTTGCTTACGTGGTGGATGAGACAATGAAGGAGGTCGACATCAACGATGTACGTGTCATGTGTAAGTACCCGAATGTCTTTCCTAAAGACCTACCGGGGCTACCACTCGATAGAGAAATTGAATTCGTGATTGAAGTTAAGCCGGGACCCAAACCCATTTCGATTCCTCCTTACCGAATGGCACCGGCGGAACTTCAAGAATTGAAGGTCCAATTACAAGAGCTATTGGACAACGGGTTCATCAGACCCAGTCATTCACCGTGGGGAGAACCCGTACTCTTCGTGAGGAAGAAAGATGGTACACTAAGAATGTGTATCGACTACCAACAGTTGAAAAAGGTCACCATCAAGAACATGTATCCTTTACCTAGGATTGATGACTTGTTTGATCAACTTCGAGGGGCAATAGTATTCTCGAAGATTGATTTGAGGTCGGGGTATCATCAGTTGAAGATCAAGGAAAGCGACATACGAAAGAGTGCATTTCGCACTAGATATGGGCATTATGAGTTCCTTGTGATGTCATTTGGTTTAACCAACGCACCGGCAACATTCATGGACTTGATGAACCTTGTGTTTAGTGAATACTTAGATCAATTTGTGATAGTATTCATTGATGATATCCTGATATACTCCAAGAGCGAGGAGGAGCACGAACATCACTTGGGGCTTGTACTGGATCGGTTAAGAGAAAGGCAACTCTTTGCCAAGTTCTCGAAATGTGAATTTTGGCTCAAGAAGATTGGCTTTCTCGGGCACGTCATATCCAGTTCGGGCGTTGTTGTGGACAACACCAAAATAGAAGCCATTATAGATTGGGAGAGGCCCAAGAATGTGAAAGATATACGCAGTTTCCTTGGTTTAGCGGGGTACTACCGTAAGTTCGTGGAGAAATTCTCCGTATTGCCGTCGCCATTAACAAAGCTCACAAAAAAGGGAGCCAAGTTGATATGGGACGATAAGTGTGAGAAAGGATTTCTCGAACTAAAGAGACGACTTACCGAGGCACCCGTTCTTGCCCTACCCATACAAGGTATAGGGTATGATATCTATAACGACGCTAGCATCCAAGGGCTTGGATGTGTTCTAATGCAAAATGGTAAGGTGATTGTCTATGCTTCTAGGCAATTGAGGAAACACGAGGTGAACTACCCAACCCATGACCTGGAGTTGGGGGCGGTAATGTTTGCACTAAAGATTTGGAGGCATTATCTCTACGGGGAGACGTGTCACATCTACACTGATCATAAGAGCTTGAAGTATGTATTCACCCAGAAAGAGTTGAATATGAGGCAAAGGAGATGAATGGAGTTGATCAAGGACTATGACTTGATCATTGACTATCATCCCGGAAAGGCCAATGTAGTGGCTGATGCATTAAGCAGGAAGAGTACGTCGGGGACGTTACTCACATGCCTACGAGCGTTGCGGGCACACGTGGAAGTGTACTCGAGTGGGGCGCTCATAGCTAGATTTGAGGTTAGACCTACGTTGCTGAGTGAGATCACTAGAGGTTAGGGCGTTGATGAGGAATGTCAAAAGATCCGCGAGTGGATCCTTGCGGGGCCCGTTGAGAACTTTCGGGTACGTGACGATGGTCTTTTATTGTTCAAACATCGTGTGTGCGTACCAAAGGCTGAGGAACTCCGGAAATCCATACTTGAGGAGGCTTATTCTTCGGCCTATGCTATGCATCCAGGAGGTACAAAGATGTACCGAGATCTAAAGAAGAGTTATTGGTGGTCAGGTATGAAGAGGGACATCGCAGAGTATGTGAGTCGATGCCTTACTTATCAGCAAGTTAAGGCGGAACATCAGCACCCGGCGGGGCTTTTGCAGCCACTTACCATTCTAGAATAGAAGTGGGAATACATGACCATGGACTTCGTGGTAGGGCTACCACGGATGGTGAGCAACTACGACGCAGTATGGATGGTGGTTGATAGGCTTACTAAAAGTGCACATTTCCTGCCTATTAACATCACTTACCCTCTTGAAAGATTGGCCAAGTTATACACTGAGGAGATTGTGAGATTGCATGGAGTCCCGATATCCATTGTGTCGGATAGGGATCCACGTTTCACATCTAGATTTTGGCCTAAATTTCAGGCATCTTTGGGAACTAAGCTGAGATTTAGCACATCATTTCACCCACAGATGGATGGACAATCCGAGAGAGTGATACTGATTTTGGAAGACATGCTCAGGGCATGTGCTTTGGAGTTTCAAGGTAGTTGGGACAAACATTTGGTTCTAGTGGAGTTTGCCTATAACAACAGTTATCAGGCAAGTATTGGCATGCCTCCATACGATGCATTGTATGGGAGGAAATGCAGGACACCTTTGTGCTGGGATGAGGTTGGCGAGGCCAGGCTCGAGGGTATAGAACTTGTTGAGATCACCAAGGCTAAGGTGAAGATCATTCGGGATAGACTTAAGGCTGCCCAAGACCGGCAGAAGAGCTATGCCGATAAACGGCGTAGACCGTTGGAGTTTGAAGTCGGTGATGAGGTGTTCCTAAGGATTTCTCCTTGGAAGGGCATCATCCGATTCATATCGAGGGGTAAGCTTAACCCCCGATACATTGGTCCGTTTGAGATCCTTGAAAGGATTAGAGC